GAAGGAAGGAAGACTGTGCTTTTGTAACAATAAGGACAGGAAACAATGTATCCTCCAAAAATAAAAGGAAATGAGTCCAGAAACTATTCAGTAGTCCTGACCCCTAGGGGCGTTTCTTTCCTTCAGTTAAAAATATACACAATTTTGAGTAACACACAAGTGGAGGCAGCTCAGGGCAGATTAGTGATTCTAAATGAAAAATCAGCCATGAACAGGTTGCAGGCAGGGGTCAGCACTCAGCCCAGCAGGACTCATCATAGCCTTACCAGCAGTCCAACTTCTGGGAATCAACTTCATGGCAGCCCTTCCCCTAAATGTGTATGTTCTCTTTATTTATTTATATGCACATTATACGGTATAAATATTATATGTAAACACTTACTGCATTGCTGTTACCTGGGTATCTTCACCTTCTTTCTCCTAGCCATTTCTGACCCACCTACACTTCCTTTCTAGTTTCTTCTTTAAAAAAGTTGTGGTATTTTTGAGACAGGATCTTTCTGTAGCCCCAGCTGGCTTGGAACTTGTTACATAGACCAGGCTGGCCTCGATCTCACAGAGCTCCACCTGCCTCTGCCTCCAGAGTGCTGAGATGAAAGGTGTGTGCCACCATGCCCGGCTCCTTTCTAGTTACTTGTTACTGAACCTGAGTTTGGCGCTGCCAGGATTCACTGTACACATGAGACTGTCATTCTCCCCTCACTACTTCTCTTTGTGGTAGACAAGCCCCCTCTTTGTTAAGTTACCCCATGCTTGGTGTCTCTGGAGAGATTCTGTATGCAGAGTGTGGTTCACACACTAGCAGTGCTATGAGATGGGAAATAAGTGCTCTGTACTTACTGGCTCACTTTATGGTACAGCTTTGCAATGCCCTGATGAGTCCAATCCTTCCCAAGTGTGGGTAAAATATGGCCAAGAGTGTCTGATCTAAATGAAGATGAAGGGGAGGAAAGTTAAAGCAAAAGATCACTGAAAGGAGGGGAAAAAAAAGCCCATTCCAATTTAACACACTAATCATGCCTCATAAAAATAAGAGAAATGAGGGCCAGTGAGATGGTTCAGTGGGTGAAGGTGCTTGCTGCCAAGCCTGATGAGTTGAGACTGATCAGAGGCCCACATTGTAGAAGGAGAGAACCGACTCCCACAGGTTGTCCTCTGACCTCTGCCTGTGCTCACACATGTGTGCATACAAAATAAAATGTAAAAGAAAAATCAAAAACTAAAAAATGTAGCTAATAGTATAAATAAGACCCACAAACTTCTGGATAGAAAGCCCCGTGCTAATTGAATCAAGTGAGGATGCTCAAGGAGGGCTGCAGCCAGGGGATCATCAGCTTTATCACCAGCTGAAGCCTGGACTTACCAAATCCAAGTGATGGGGTGCTAACCATTCCAAAATGGCATTCTCCAAAAACATCCAGGTTAGGTACCAGGTCAGGGAGATGATGCCCCAGAGAGAAGCAAGCCACTAGGCCCTGAACACAACTACAGAGGTTCAGCTACAGCCCCGTCCCTCAGCTCCGAATGCACCAGAAACTGTAGGCTACGGGTCCCACAGTGCTACCCAAGGGAGAAGGAAGCTATCTCCAGTCCCATGCTGAAGTGGAACGTACCTCGTGATAGTCCCATCGATATCAGAGATGATGACTTTATCATCCCAATTCCACAGGTAGATGGTGCCTTCACAGCGACAGGTGCCCTGGTACTGTGTAGTGACACTAAAAACCACATCATTAGGGCCATTCTTCAACTTCAAGCTTTTCTGGAAAACATAAACAGTTTGCCCATTTGAGGGGACGGTCCAGCTTCAGGGGTCATTTGGCTTCTATTCCATGAGAAGAAAATTTAGATTTTAAAAATCAAACCATCCCTAGGTTCTAGTTCTTTCCACAGCTGGACAGGCAATCTAAACCCCAGCTCTCTCTGGCCCACTCACTCCCTACAAAGCACTCTGCCTCTAAACATGCTACTAACATGACCCACTACACCTTGAAGAATGCAGACAGGATTAAAGGACAGGTTACCAGGCTCAGTAGCAGTCATATCACTCAATACAAAATGTGAGGGGTCTTGATTTGGGGACATAGATTTAAGCCAAGTAAAAATATGTTTCCCTCAATAACCATGTTTTTAGTGATTATTATAATGACACAAATTGGAAAAAGAAGGCTCAGCTATCAGTCGTACCTCATATCTATAAAATATAGACCCAGGATATCACACCAAGTTCAGAAAGCAAAACTACCTTCAGGAAGTCCTCAGTCTCTCCCAGGATACTCTGGTGCACACCAGATGGCCACACAGACCCACTGACTCTAGATGTCCCCCAGGACCCTATAAGTGGTTAACATGGAGGCATCTTTTCCCATTAATTACCATCATCGCTAAGCCTGTTCCCCACTAACTCTTATGATAAATGCAAAATACTATAGAAAAGCAGAGATATCCGCTCACTGGATGACGATGAATTGAAATAGGACCCAGAGGTGGAAGGGGACTCATTAAAACTTGTCTTACAAATAAACAAACACACATACATACTCTCTCCCTCTCTCTCTCTCTCTCTCTCTCTCTCTCTCTCTCTCTGGTACCTGAAATTCTCTAAATCCCATCACACCCACTTGATTTTCACCAATTTTAGGTATTCATTTGAGTTAACAAACATCTCTCTGAAAGCAAAAATGCCCATGAGAGCCTTTCAGTAGTCTATCCATCATTGATAATGAGGACAAATGAGCTCAGTCAAGCCGCCTTTTTCTTTTGGGTCAGAAAAAGCAAATCAGAAAGTAAAGTCATATTGAGAGTCCATATGAATATACAGAGTCGGGGTAGAAGCACAGGGTACCAAGTGAGAGGTATGAGGCCACCTGCAGGCATGCTAGGGTATGAAAAAGGTCCTAGGAAGTGTAAGTGGGAACCAGAAAGTAGAAGGAACCCCCAGACCAACACGCAGGCCCTTAAATTGTAGTCCACCGGGCATGACCCCGAGGACCCAGAGACACAGCTGCACTAACAGCAAGAGACTCACCAGCTGCTCTGATGTGAGCCGCAGAGTCTTTTTGTAGCTCACGTTAGACAAAAGAGAGAGGTGGCTTGAGTTTGCCGGCTTGGCAGCTGCGTGCTCTTCATCACTGGAGGATGACTCATGCTTTATTCTGGAACACACAGTGAAGTAATCACCAATTAGAAAACACATCTAGGTATCCATTAAAACTGCATTAGGCCCAAATCAATGACTCAGTCAATAGGTCTCTTGGGTGGTCATTTGCCATATGGCATTAGATTTATCAATGAACTCTCCTGTAACCCCATTCATACATTTGATTCATGCTGGGGAGTGGGGCTGCCTCTCTTCATTCACTCACCTGTTTACCAGCTATCATCATTTGCTTTTAACTAAGTCGATTCCATTCCTGAGGAGAAGGGGCTACATCCATCCTGTCCACAAACACACATTCTTCTGCCTCTTTTCTCTTCCTGCTGCAGGGTATGGACCAAGCCCCAGGGGTTCAAATGTCCAAACCCCAGTAGTTCCCTCTCCACAATTCCAATTTCAAACCATAGATGGGTGCCAGTAAAGCAGGGAAGATTTGCCTGCTCACCCCTGCAGGACTCCCAGCAAGTCATACACCAGCTAGGCGACACCACCTCTGCCAACACAGAATCCATAGACCTCAACTCTTCTACAGACTCCTAGAGGTCGGGGCTGGAAGGCAGGACAGGAATCAGGCCCACTGTCTTTAAATGGCTTACAGAAAGCAGGTCAGTCATTAGTTGCTCCCTGAACTAACTCTTATGGCCTCCTCTCCAACCCAATAGTATTTGCTCTGCCTCCAGGTCTTAGCACCATGCGAAGTGCTTAATAATGAGCTTGTACTGAATTTTAAAAAGGCCAAGCACCCCAGAGCAAGCATGTCCCTAATCCCTACATCCCTTTATATAAAACACCATGCACAAAGATCTTCATCTTCTCTACCTCAAGGAGTGCTCATCTCTCCTGCAAACATCCTCCCAGCCCACTGCCTCCATTTCCCTGGCCTGCTTCATGGTCACCAGCACAGCCTCCCATATAAGCCTCCCCAACACATGTCCTCATTCAAGAAGTGATTCCCACCAGGTATGGTGGTGCATACCTTTAATCCCAGCACTCAGGAGGCAGAGGCAGGCGGATCTCTGTGAGTTCAAGGCCAGCCTGGTCTACACAGTGAGTTCCAGGCCAGCTGGGGCTACAGGGAGACCCTGTCTCAAAAAGACCAAAACAAAAAAGAAAAGAAGTGATTCCTACAACCCAGTGCTGCCCAGGACCAGGTTGATCATCAAGCGGAGCACTGTCACACAGGACCCCCAACGTCAGTGTGGAGACCTGGCTCTGTGTGGTCCTGAACCAGGTATTGGCAAAGCAACCAAGCCTGGTGGTCCCTGCTCTCCATGAGCCTTTGTCTAAGAAGCCAATCACAGTCACCAGGGCTAGGGATGCATCGGCAATTCCAAAGCTTACAGGAGAAGTCCTGGGATCAGGTGTTCATGTCAAAGAAGACAGGCAGAGAATACAGCCTGGGACTCTGGTTAATCTGTGGCAGGGCTAATATCTCCAGAGAGCGGAGACAATACAGAAGCTAGAATCTGAACACCTGAAGTAGCCAGTCTGTGGAAATTTACACTGCACTATGCAAGACAAATCACTTCTGCCTTTCAGCCTGTTCTCCTTATTCTAAGATTCAGGAGAACACACTGCATTCCACACAACTAAACCTCAGGATGCAGCTGGGAGCAACATGGGGCCAATCAGAGATCTAAGTCCACATGCTAGATTGAGACCAGAAGACTCCTCTCCGAACCCCAGTCAGCTCTTCTATAAAATGACATGTTCAACCAAAATCCCTTCCCGTTCCAACATATACAGATCCCATGAACAGCACTCGTTCTCCTAAGCCAAGATCCTAGACATTTCCAGATGGGGCAGGCGTGGTCCTTGAGCCTGTACCACATGACAAGTATCCAGGACAAAGGGACCCTCATCAAGCAAAGAAGGGTAAGGACGCAGGTCCCTCACTGAAGAGTAAAATGTTTGGGCTTGGACCAAACAGTCTGGAGAGAAATGAGATCCAAATGTAACTGCAGCTCTTGCTGACAACAGATTGATGTGTGCCTCTGCCGGGAGGATGAGGATGCAAGACGGCCTTCCATCTGCTGTTTTAAAGAACAACCCACTAAATTCACATGGCGTGCCATGTTGCAGGAACACAGGAAGGGAAAACACAGATTCAAAGGCTAAAATGGGAGTTGTACAGTTGGCTGCTGGCACTCTCTCTGAGGGCACATCAACGGTGGTTGGAGGCTGTTACCTTCCAAACTCACAACCCTGTGTAGAAAGGGACACTCCTATGCAGAGCCCCTATGCCCCTTTTATAGTGGCTTGTTAAATGTCTACAGACAGCGACAAGACAGCCCCCAATCATTTGAAAATCTGTGTTCAGATGAGAAATTGTGAGCAACATTTTAAGTTAGTGCTGGTTGTAGCACACATTTTTTAAATGGCATTTTAATTATTTGTATGGTGACAAGCCGTTTGCTCAATTATGGGACTTTGGGGACTGTTCTGTCAATCAAGTCTGCCAATTAGGAAAACATTCTGATGCCAATTTTTTTTTAAAAAAGTCATCTTCGTGACTCTGATGAGGAGACTAAAAGTCACGGGTGGCAGTATAAATTAAAAGATTTACATTTTTCAAGAGAAATTTCACACATTTCAAAATTTCAATTCTATCACGCAAGAATCAATTCATAATTTTTCAGGTTTGTTAATTTAGAGTGGGGACTAGTAGGGCTGTTTCATGGGACAGGAAAAGCATTTCTCACTAACAGCTGAGTTTAGTACAGAGACAGTAAGAAAATCCATCACAATGCACATAAACTACAAGTGCTGATGGGCAGCTAGCTGACAGTCTAACTTGGGAAGAGCTCCAGAAAGGTCTTTCCACCCTCAGGCTGCCCACATCCCTGAGTTCCTCCATGGCCAGAAAGAGGACAGCACCAACTACCCTTCTCCCAGGGTGTCAAAGTCTACAGTTATGAGCAGCTCACTGGGCCTCAGACCCCATCTCACCCAGGTCGATGCCAGACCTGTCGCAGCAGGGTGGGTCTGGCAGATACCCATGGAATAGATCTTTAAACAGTTGAAACTGCCTGGTTTAGAATGAACGTACACCCTTTTGTGAGGTGAAGGAGGAAGTAGATGAAGCAAAGAGGTGGTTTAATTTGGCAAAGACCACAGAGAAGCAATCTGACACTGCCCCTGCTCTAAGTCCTGCTCTGAGCAACCAGAGTGCCAGGAAGGCAGGGTGAGGGTATACAGCTGGACTCCCTTTAATGGCTTACAACATGAACTCCCATACCTTTACTCATGTCTCTTCTGGGGTCACCCTACCTTGTCCTGACTCCCCCTTGCCTACCTGAGCACCAACACCCACCATACAGTACCCTTGCTCAGACACAGAGGTAGTTTGCCTGAGGCCAAATGGCCAGTTGCAACACCAGGATTTCTAACCACACCTGCCTGACTCCACAGGCAGCTGTTGCCACTATGGTCTTCCATGAACAGGAGTGAACGACCACCTAATTGAAAGGTCCTGGCTCCGCTCCTGACTACCTGAAATGTGCATTGAAGAGGCTGGGCTCCATCCCTACTCAGGGCCAAACTCAAAATTCCTGGGTGGGAAAAGAACCAAATGCTTGGGAGGTTATCCCCAGAGAAGAAGCCAGAGAAGAAGCCAGAGATGGTGGGGTGGGGGGCAAACAAAACACCCACTCCACACACTGGGCCTTCCCACCCATGCCTGGCCTGGGCACAGAATAGTAGAGCCAGGAGAAAGTGCCACCACCTAGGCACCAACAGCAAAAACAGAAGGCTCCCCCTCAAAACCATCCCAGCAGATGGTTCACAAATACGTACCCCCTAATCTTCAGCCCTTCCCCTGAAGTCTTCTTAAAGAGACTAGAAAGCAGACTTTTTCCTCCTTGCCAATAAGATTTTCTCCTTCCAAGAGAAAATTCTAGAAATAAAATAGTCTAAGGTACAGAGCTGTGGCCAGAGCCAGGGGACATGAAACCTAAGCCAGTTTCCCCAGTATATGAATCAGTGCTCAGGAAAACCCTCATAGGTTCAGGAACAGTTCAGCCATATTCTCAACATACCTGATCTGTAGCAGGCCTGGCCGTGGCCTCCAAGGTACCAAAATGACTAAGACATGCATGGTACCCTAGGTGAATCTGTTCGCATGTACTGTCTGCTGAGTAAGAAATGCAGCCATGGGTTCCTCAGAAACAGTAAGACTATAAAGGTGAGGCACCAGGTATATACAGTGTGATGTCAGCTCAGACCACCCCATGTCAATGTCAGCACTGTCACCATTGTCAGTGAGGAACTGTGTCACCCTCAGGGTCAAGGCACCCTCACGAAACTAACCTGAAGACTACACCACTAATGCTGATCAGATCAAACCCCTACCTCAAGCTCGGGAGATGGCTCGTGGGTAAAGCATAAGGATGAGGACCCGAGTTTGGATCTCCAGTACCCATGCAAAAGTCAGGCACAGCAGCACCTATCTGCAATCCTCACACTGCGGGTGGGAAGTAGAGAAAGGTAGATCCAGGAGTTTTGCAGGCCAGAGAGTCTAGCCCAAACAGCAAGCACCAAGTGCAGTGAGAGACCCTGCCTCAAAAAATAAGGTGGAGAGATGGAAGAAGAGACCCAGTGTTGACCTCTGGATTCCACATGTGCACTCACAGGCAGAGCACGCACGCACACACACACACACACACACACACACACACACGTGCACCTGCACTTATGCACATTATTTTTTTTTTAAAGAAAACTGACCTCTAGTGTGTCAAGTGAATAGAAATCTAGCTCCATACTTAGATAAGTTTCCGGACAGGTCCTGGTAAGCATTTAATCTCTGTACAGAAGGGTAATGCCTCCCAAGGGGGCTTACCCACATGTCACTGTGAATGCTGTGGTACCATCATTTTTCTCATCACCACCTCTGCAGAGAAAGGCCTAAAGCAAGCTGGGACAGTGAGAAATGTTACAGCTACAGCAGCTCATTTGAGATTCACAGTTACCTTGAACCTCAACTGTCTGAGCCAGCAGCTGTAAAACTGCTCCCAGTCACCGTCACCTAGTGACTCAGGAACCAAAGCTGGAACCCAAGCCAGAGGCTGATCCCTTAGGAAGAGCATCCAATGGACACACAGAGGACCCTTATTTGGCACCAAATGTGTTAGCAGCACACCTGGAAGGCCCCTCCTGTACCTGGTGGCCAGGCCAAGCTGTGATGGCTGCTCTCCAGTACTGTGGCCTTTGCCAGGCAGGCACTGCTCCGGCTTGCTTTCCTAGAGATGAAGAAAAAGCCATGAAAGAAGTACAAAGGAGAAAGGGCTCTCTCAAAGGCTCAACTTCTGTCACAGGGTTCTCTAAGGCCTAGGGCAGGATCCCAAATGTGGTAATGCTGGGGGTGGGGGTGGCCCCAGGAGGCTCTGGGGGGGGGGCCTCTGCTTTGGCAGGTCCACATTACTTCTTTGCTTAGAAATCTCAAACGATTAAGCTGAGAAACATTTTCCACAGAAATGAGTCTGTTATCCATAAGTGTTCGTGGCACTCAACCAAACTCCATCATCACTGTCGCAAATGAAAATTGCTTTATCAGGGGCTGCCTGGATTCCTGAGGGCTTTCAAAATATTTTCTTCTAATTGCCGATAAAAATGCTCCAAAATATTTGCACACCATATTTTGCTTGGGGAAAATGTAGAAGTGTTTCTCTCTTTTTCAATACTACACAATCTTAATATGAAATGCTTCTTGGACGCACTGAAGAGAGCCTCCTGGGCTTGAGAGAACTCCTGGGCCCAGTCCTGCTCTCTCACTTTCGAACCTTAGGGCAAGTCGGCCAGGCTTGAGGGTATTAAGCCCCCAGTGCTGATAAGACCATGAGAGGAGGTACTCTTCATAAAACACAAAGCCTGATACACAACAGGGGAGGAGAAGGAAGTGACAGGGAAGGCCCCAGGGATGCCCACTGAGTGGAAGAGGTCAAGGACATGCTCAAGGGATGAGGGAGAAAGAATGAAATCTCCTTTCATGTGGTCCTTTGGTTGGGACACAAGTTAATGGCTTCCACTGGGTGGATCGCTGTGAGTTCCAAGCCAGCGTGGTCTACATAATGAGCTCCAGGCCAGCTGGGGCTACAGGGAGACCCTGTCTCAAAAAGGACCAAAAAACAAAACAAAAAAACAAAACAAAAAACAAGCAAGCAAGCTAGGCAGTGGCTCACTCCTATAATCCTAGTACTGGGGAGGTTGAGGCAGTGAGGCAGGAGGATAGCTGCAAATTCAAGGCAAATGGAGCTATATAAAGATCCTGTCTCAAAAAAAAAGGAAAAAGAAATAAAGAAAACAACATAACCCTGAATATCTTAATGTATGTACTAGACACTAGTTTCAAATATCCATTTAGTTGGTTGATTGGTTGGTTGGTTGGTTGGTTGGATGGTTATACACACATACATGTAAAATATAATAATTTTTTTAAAAATTAATTAATAAGTAACCTTCTGGTTTCTTCATACTACTTTCTAGAAGCAATCATCACCCAATACATACATACCAAATTCCTATGCTAATTCCGACCCCACAGGGGGCAAAGCCCTAAGTGCCTTAACCTTATGGTGGAACTTGGGGTGTGGAACAGACAAAAATGTCAGTCACGCAGTCTCACTAATAAGTGCATAGTCATAAATTCTGACAAAATTCATGGTGAAAAAGGTCATAGACTATGAGAGCACAGACCAGGTTAATCTGGCAAAAAGAGCAAGTTGAGCTGCTGGTTAATTGAGTGATAGGGAATGAAAGGGACTCTGAGAGCACTCAGCAGAGGAAAACGCATGTGCAAAGGCCCTGGGGTAGCCGCAATTTTCATCAATGACACTAAAGCAAAGAGAAGAGCACAACATAGATGAGGCCAGCAAGGGCGGCAGAAGGCAGAACACACAAGTACTGTACAGAATGTGAAGGAGCTGGTCTTCGTTATAGGCGCCCTAGGCAGCCACTAAAGAGTTTTAAGCAGGGGCTAGAAAGACAGCTCAGCAGTTAAGGGCACTGGCTATTCTTCCAAGATCTGGGTTTGAGTCTCAGCACCCATATGGTGGCTAACAACTGTCAGTAACTCCATTTCCAGGGGATTCAATGTCTTCTTCTGGCCTCCACAGGCATTGCATGCATATGGTGCACTTATATACACATGATATAAAAATAATTTTAAAATTTTTTTAAGTTTTAAGCAGGGCTGGAGAGACGGGTCAGTTGGCAAGAGCAGATGCTGTGCAAACATGAGGATCTGAAAAAACAGGCAAGGCTATGCATGCCTGTAGCCTCAGCACTACGAGGAATGGACACAGGATTGCTGGGGCTTGCTAGTCACCTGTCCAGTTCTAGGTTCTGCCAGAGACTCTCTCTCAAAGGAATAAGACAGAGAGTGATAGAGCAGGATACCCGACATCCTCCTCTGGCCTCGGCTAGAACACGCAGGAGGACACACACACACACACACACACACACCAGAAAATAAAATCAAGTTTTGAGCGGGGGAGATATGAGACTACTTCCTTAAACAGACCAATTCAACTGCAGTTAGATAATGAAAAAAGGACAGGGCAAGAATGGACACAAATATACAATTTGAAAGCCACTTTGTGAGAGAGGATGGTGGTCCAGAGCTAGAGAGCAATGGACAAATCCGGGCAATACTTAAATGTAAATTAAAAGGCCTCCATGAAGGGAGTAAGGGTTCAGCCGTCGATGGACAGTAGAGCGTTCCCTAACCATGGCTTCAATGAATGAAGGACCTTCCAGCTTGCTCTGAAAGCAACTGCAACATGCCTTGACACTTCTAGCCGGACCTCTGCTTCACTGGCTACTTGATAAACAAGTGCGGAGTACCAAAGAATGTCTGGCTTGGAAATAAGAAACGGAGTCATCTGGGTGAACATGGGTGACTATCCAGGAAAAGCAGGGGTAAAAGCAGAAAAAAGGGCCCCAAGATACCCTGTGGGGCTGGTCAGGGGGAGGGCAGCTTAGAGGGTGCGGGGGTGAGAAAGCCAGAACTGAGAGCCTGGAAGCCAACAAGGAAAGTGCTCCAGACATGGGCTCAACTTGGACAGAGACTTGAGCAATTAGGGGCTTTTGCAGAGATGAAAAACAAAGCCACATGAACCAGGCTCGGCACTTCGGGAAGTGACTAGTGAGGCATTTCCACAGCAATGAGCGTGTCTCGATGTTGTCCTCACAATCATGAGGAAGACTTCAAACTGATTATAAAACATAAGTTATGTTGAAACCCTTTTGTGATGATCAGTGTTGTTTGTAACTTGACAAGATCCAGAATCATCTAAGAGACAAACCTCTGGGCACAGTAGTGAGTTACTAGGTTGAGTCATGCTGGGAAGACCCACCCTAAATGTGGCACCATCCCATGGGCTGGAGTCCTGGACTGAATACCAAGGAGAATGCAGGCTGAGCACTAGCCTTCATCACTTCTGCTTGACTGTAAGCAGCGTGACCAGCTGCTTCAAGCTCCTGTGCCTTTACTTTCTGCCTTGATGGACCGCACTCTCAAACTGTAGCCAAAACAAACCCTTCCTCCCTTAAGTTGTTTTTGTCAGGTGCTTTGTCCAGTAATGAGGAAAGCAATGAATACATCTTTTTACTGATAAAGACACCTCACAGTGGAAAAGCAACTTGACCTCAGCCTCCAACCTAACAATGAAGGCTGAGGCAGTGACTCCCCTCTGCTGGCCCCTCCCACTTCTGTCTGCACTTTCTGGGCTAGGTCCTTTGCAGGAGGGCCAGCTCACAGAAACTCAGTTATACGGTACACGTTTACTTCACTCGTGTAAGTGGAAAGGAACTTGACTAAACAAAACCAGGAGTGCAAATGCTCAGACGCCGTGCTTACCTCTTTTATTGTGGTGTTCCTTCCCCTCCAGGAAAACCACCATCTCCCTCCCTTTTTGGGCATCTTATCTCTCATGAGAGATTCCACAGTGGCCTGTTTTAAATGGATGGTAACATAAATAATGGAACCAAAAAAAGATCAACTTAGCACACTCAAACCAAAAACGAAATGCACGCGCAAATCAAAGGAGAAAAAAAAAAATCAGAGAAAGCACAACATACTGTTGGTGCATTGAAAATTTTAGAAAAGCAAAACCTAATGGCATCCAAAATTACATGAAGGTAACTTAAGCACGAAGACTTAAGAAGGTGTGAAAAGAACAAACAACAAATAAAATACAACACAACAACAACAAAAAAGAAAGCATTAAAAATCATTAATGATTAGTAGATCACAGGTTTTCAAATTAAAATGGCTAACTGATTAAGATACTGTTAACCTCAGTAGGATGATCACAAAATAAAACATGAAAACAATGATTAATACAATATGAGATCAAACACTTTCAAACAAAAGTCAAAATATACAGGACTTCTTTTAATAAATATAGGTTTCCAAATTTTGACAAAATTGAACTTTAATAGATTGATTTAAAAGAAAGTATTAAAAATAAAATGCACACTGACAGCCTGAATATATGAAAGTTTGAGGGGGGATAAAATATGAATTAATAACTTTGTTAAGTATTTCCAAACAACAATGTCTGCCTTGAGGCTACTTCAGGGCCCAGGCAAATGTTATCTAATTTCCTTCCCTCAGTTTATAAAACTTTCAAGTAGCTTAGGTCTTCCAACCTAACAGGATACAGGTAAGTGGACAGAGGAATAATTCTCCTATTTAGCCTGAAGTGTGTTATTTATGTTGAAAAGAATTTCATCTAACACAAAACAAAACCTGAGTCCACTAAATGAAAACCATGCACACGGTGTTCATGAACAGGATGATATACAAATATACCAAGTACTCTACTCTGCCCCGGACAAGTTCATCCACAAATAACAAACCCCACAATTAAAAAAAAAAACTAATAGGATTACACTTTCTAAGGTGCTTTTGAAAAACCAACAAATAAAAATTGCAAAGAAAACTCTCAGACAGGAGTCTAAGTAGGCATTAGCCCTGCAGAGCATTAAACAGATTTTCAGTCTACAGCAATTAAAAGAGCCCAGTGTTGGTCCATGAGCAACCACATCATTGGAACAGAAAACCAAACATTCAGACTTAGAAATAAGCCTAATTTCACAGAGAAATGAAATCAAGTTGTTGCTGTCAGTGAGGGGAGGGCTACTTAACAATGACACTGCAGTGATTCCAAACTGTTTCAGAACCTGCTGTTAGTTTTGCCTCCTGCCCTAGACACACACACACACACACACACACACACACACACACACTTTTTTTCCTGGCAACAGAGCCAAATCTCTGTTCAAGAACCATGTTCAAGGGAGGCATTAGGGGGAGGTGGGCTCAATTCCAGAGGCTAGATCCCAATTAGTCTGTGCCTTTCAATGTCATTCCATCCTTCTGCCACTAACAATTGAGAAATGATCAAGCTTTAGGCAATGAAATATGAGGAATCCTCCCCATCCTTCCTACTTCAGATGGCACATAAGGAAATGTGTGCAGCAGCTGTCATGTGACCAGAACAGAAAAACCATGAAAATCAGTGCACTTAGGAAACCTGCCAACCTCTACCTCTATGATCACATGAGATAATAAATCCATAATATTTAAGCCATTTGTGTTTTCTACAACCAAAAGAATCCTGATTCAATAACCAGTTGGGGAGGGGTGTAAGTAATTTAATTCCCTAAATCTCCCTCATTATTCTCAAGATAAAATACAGATGAATCGCCAGGAGTGGTGGCGCATGCCTTTAATCCCAGCTCTCCGGAGGCAGAGGCAGACGGATCTCTGTGAGTTCAAGGCCAGCCTGGTCTACATAGTGAGTTCCAGGACAGCTGGGGCTACAGGGAGACCCTGTCTCAAAAAGACCGAAAAAAATATATATATATATAATATTTTATAGAGTTGTGCCCACACCACAGTCCAGTTTTAGGGTAGACTGAGCAATTGTTGACCTTGAGGATCAGAGATGTGCAGCTAAAATGGAAGAGAGAAGAAAATGCAGGGCCTATTTTCATAAGTTTTAGAACTGGAGAAGCATGGCTGTTTTAAATAGATACATATAGCCCAACAGGCATAATAAAGACTGTCAAATGCTACATATTAAAATCATTTCTGAGGGCTGGAGATTGCTCAGTAGTTAAGAGCACTGGCTGCTCTTTCAGAGGACCCAGGGTTCAGTTCCCAGCACTCACATGGCAGCTAACCACCTGTAACTCTAGTCCATAGGGATCCGAAGCCCTCTTCTGACTCTGTGGGCACTGCATGACACAGGCGCACTTACATACATGTAGGCAAAAATACTTATTCACATAAAAATAAATTTTAAAGTCATTTCTGTATTAAAGAAACACCATACACGGCCCCGAAACTCCTGACTATGGATCACGCATACCCCAGGGACTAAATGTTCTGGTGCCATGTGTGTCTCCTTGTCTACACACAACCTTCCTTAACTACATTTCTACTGCACTGGTCTTTTGTCCCTACTAAAGCCTTGAGAATTGTAACTTTGTGGTGCTGAGAACTGAACCTATGGCCTTACGCATGCTAGGCAAGCATTCTAGCACTGAGCTAGATCCCCAGCCCTGTTACTTAAAAATGTATTCCAGGTCATGGTACCAAAAGGAAACTGGCAGCAATATAAAAACCACTCTACAGAACATGCCTCAGCCCAGTCCACAAATACAAAAAAGTACTACCAAAGACGAGATCACTATCCCCAAACCTTGAAGGAGCAGGCTCAACTCAACAAAGTTGGATTTAACCTCCAAGAACCTCAAACACTGGAACTACCTGACAGACTGCAAGAGCCTCTCCAAGTACTTGCTAATGTGCAAAGCACGTCTCAGACAGCAACTCTGCAGCCAAAAGAACACACACACCATCCAGTGTGAAGACACAAGATCTAAGAAATTAGCAATTCCAGGTGAATGTCTAGGGAATTGCTGGAGGGGCTGGGGCGGAGGAGAGGAACACTCTCCTGACCAGCAGGTGGCAGATCTGCCTTCCTCACTCAACTCTTTCTTATGGCTGTTTCCCTTCTCTCACATGCTGACTGTGAGCCCTGTCCTTGCCTCTGCCTCAGAGAATCAGACACAGATCTGGCTTCTTGGCTGAGCAGCACTAACAATAACAGCACTTGCTCCTGGTACCAGATGCACTGCCTCCCTGCACCTGACCCAATGCCTGTTTCCAACCTTCGATACTTCCTTTACTCAACCTCATTTAGTTACGACATCCTGGTGCACAACTGCTCTGTGCCCACTATGTTCCTAATACAGAAGTGTTAGGAATGGGATGGCACATCTACAATGCTACGTTGTGGGAATTTTGACTTGATGAGGAGGGGAGCCATGCTTAAGGTTCAAGAGAACAGGATCTGAAACTCCTGATGTGAATGCTCATGGACCTCAAGATGCAATGGGCTCTGTGGCTTCTAACCTGTCCTCCCTGGGCCCCATTTCTCTTCCTCGTGTTAAAGCTCACCTTTGGCAAAGGTTTCTGGAAGGCCTGCATTGCCAGAAGTAAAGGTGCTGCTGTTGTCCAGTTGTAGTATCTAGCAAAACAAAGAGACAGATATCAGGAAAGACTTCATGTCACGTGTGATGTCATGCAAAGGTTGGGAACCGCAGTCAGGTCCTTTTATTTTTTCAGTTTTTGAGACAGTGTTTCCCTGTAGCCTCAGCTGGCCTGGAACTTGCTATGTAGACCAGGCTGGCCTTGATCTCCTAAAGATCTACCTGCCATTGCCTCCTGAGTGCTGGGATTAAAGGCATGTGCCACCACACCTGGCAGTCATGTCCTTTTAACAAGTCCAGTGCCATTACTTCCTCCCAGCCCTCCACATCACCCGCACCCAGTCAATGGCTCCTGCCTCCTGCTCACCCCATCACCATGATAAGTGATAGCAGCAGACAAGACAGTAGGAAGAGACACACAGACACACCATTAACTGGGCAGCAGTCAGGTCCCACCGTGTGGACCCTGCTCCAACCACCTGCTGCCTGTGTCAATCTCTACTACACTTCACGGAAAGGAGACAACTCCACCACCCATGTCAATATGTAAAACTTCCCCTTGGTGGGTAAAGTGTCTGCCAACAGCCTGCAGAGACCCCTAAGCACCCCAGACCTCAGGCAGTGATGTCTCTAAAGGGGCAGCTATGCCATTACATGTCTGCACTGGATAGGGTCAAAGTCCCACAGTCTGAGCACTGCACCTGACATGATCAATTACAAAGTCTGGTATATATACTTATTAAAATCCACAAGATGGGGCTAGGAAGAAGGTCCATTAGGTAAAATGTTTGCCACGCAAGTCTAAGGATCTGAATTCAGATCCCAGCACCCAGATTAAAAAGCCAGGCATGGTGACATGCACCTACATATAATTCCAGTGCTGAGGAGACAGAGACAGGAGGATCCCTAGCACTTGCTTGGCAGCCAGTTTAACCAAATCAACCATCTTCAGGTTCAGTGAGTGACTGAAGTATGGTGTCAACCTCTGTCCTCTATATGCACCATGTATACCCATACATGCCATCATACAGACACATGCATCTGCACACATACGTGTACATACACTGAACATATATACACATACAATTCACATGACTCACAGTGACCTCAGCCCAGTGGCTATACAGGAACATAGAATTTTACCAACAGTAAAGGAGCAATAATAAAGTTGAACAATGATTTGTTGAGGTTTGACATTGAGGTCTCTGTATTTGGGAGGGAGATGAGCCAGAAACAATATCATGCTACAGCCAAAAGGACTTTCAACAGGAACTTACTTATTGCCGATCTTGACCACAAGATTGGGGTCATCGATGATGGCTGGGTTATCAGCAAATTGCTGATATGACACAGCTTGCTCCAAAAATGCATCTGTGGCAGCAATTATAGGAAAGAAAGAAAAAAAAAAATCAAAAGATTTGTATTTTTTTTTAAAAAAAAAAAGCCCTCTATATTTAACTTGCTCATTCACAAGTACGTTTCTAAGAGTTTATGAACTCCAATTTGTACACACAATCCTTCACTTATAAAGAAGGGGGCATGGGCTTGTTTGGAGAACAGTGCCTGTGCAGAAAAGATGGAGGCTGGGGCCAAGCCAGGGGTGCAGGGAAGTGTACCCTCAGCAAGCACGTGGGATGGAGGCCACACACACAGAGGCCAAGCAATGTTTAGGCAGGGACAGCTGCCTGAGTCACCTTTGTTTGAGTGACCTTAGGCAAGTGACTGAACTCCCTGGCCTCAGCTCCTTCCCACTAAGCATGGGCATAATGGCCAGGCCCACTTCCTAGGGGTTCCTAAACATAGGAAAGAACAGAGTATCCTGCACAAAGTTAAGAGCTTAATCAATGTTGGGAGCTGTAACACCAATTACTGTCACCTGTGGGAAGTATGGAGACAGGACACTGTGAGGCCTGGAACTCGCCACCCTCATCCACAGCTCCACCAGGCTCAGAGCAGGCCTTCTAGGCAAGAAGGCCATAGGATCAGGAGGCCCAGACCTCAGCCCTGGACCAGAGTCTGCAAGGGGCTCTGGCCATAGGCACTGACTTCTCTGTAACTCCCCTACTCGGCTGGACCAGCCTTTGGCCTTGACTGGTGCTCCATTATCTCTCTGTCCCTAAATCCATACACATTCCTCCTCTAGAAGATCCTATGTATCCAAGTGGAACCAGACCCAGAAGACAGCAGACAGGGAGGATTCACTCTGGCCTGGAAGAAAAATGTCTCTTGGTCATGTCAACCTACAACCTTCAAGATCTTAAAGGAGACCTGAGGTGCTCTCCCTGAAGCTTCTGGCCACAACTGTTGAAACAGGACCTCAGGGCTCCCATCCCTGCCCCACTGTGCATGAACCAGGGAAGGAATGCCAGTAGGTTACCAGCCTCCCCACAGCACCAGTGGATGGAGGGAGCAAGCTTGCCCCATCATGGCTCAGTAACATAATGGAGCCTGGAGTCAGATGTGTGGTCTCAAAAAGACCTAAAGGCTGAAAGGCAGGAAACTGCTGGCACTCATACCGGAATAAAAGGCCCTAGTCTGTGCATAAGAAGAAATTCATAAAAACTGGGAGAGACTTCATGATGAACAGGAAGAGGAAGTGGTATGGCACTATGAGTATGACCCCACCCAGCTCCATCCCCTGCAAGAAACACAAGCCATGGAGGATGGAAGAGAAAGCAGCGGTGGAAGAGGAAGGGTGAAGGAAAATTAGGTCTGGTTCAAGGATTCAACAGCGGATAGCTGCCGTTGCCTCAGTCAAGGGGGACTCGGGCACGCCTCACCATGGAACTGTCACACTCAGTCCTCACTTTCCAGTATGGCACATGTTGTGTGTTAATCACAAAAGTCTACCCACCCCCAGTACTCTCTAGAACCCAGCTGGGAAGCATTTCCAAAAGTCCTCAAACCAGTTCAGACCTCCCTCCCTCCTCCAGGACCCCACAGATTCCCACACACTTCCAACACTCTATTGTAGTAAGGTTGATACCATGTCTGAATACAAGTTATCTCAGAGCTGCAACTGCAGGGCTGGCCCAAAACATGGGGGACACCCACCTGTGCTCAGAATCATCCCTGACAGAACTCTGAGGGCACAACTGCAACGGGAAACAAGTGGGGCCTGAGACCAGCCGGTGAGTCTGTGCTTTCAGTAACCACAACCAAGAGGAGATGGGATCCAAGAAGCCTCAGCGCCTAGGCTTTCTGGCCAGCAGCCGCTAGAGGGCACTGTTCCGCACTGCCCGGTACCTTTTGTGATCTCCCGGTGGTCACTGAGGCCTCCACAGAGGGAGATGGCTATGGATGGCAGGTCTCTCAGGCCATCCGATGTGCTTTCCACGCCACTGTCGATGCCCGAACTGCCCATGGACTGTGGGGACTGGTTAGCTGACCGGGCTACGTTGTCACTGGCATGTTTGGGGAGTCCAGCAGGATCGCCACTGGAAGGAGAGAAAGCAGCTGTTCTGAGCACTTTCCTTGCCTCCAGTCCTACCGCCTGTCACCCCACAGAGGAACAAATGCAAACATTTTTTGCCATAAAATCACCAGGACAGAGAAGCCAAAGGAACAGCCTTAAGCGAGGTCTGCTGGATTCTCCTGAACACTCTAAACCCACGTGAAATAAACCAAATAGAAGTGTGTGCCTGAGGCCACTGGTCTCTGCTCTTACCTACCAGGGCACCAGGCCTTTCTACATCCCAGGGGAGCTAAGGCTGAGTCCCTAAGGATTGAGTGTGACTCTCTCAAGGAGGGACCAGGCAGCAGCCTCTTATTTAAATAATAGGCCACTGGTCACTGCAACCCAGCCTTGAGCCTTTCCAAAGCATGGAGGGCAGCCATGTGCCACCCACAGAGACCTACAGTTACCACACAGAGCCAAGGTTGTGCCCAGGTTAAACATGAGCCTTCACTTCCCTTATTCCTCACTCATCAGAGAAAACTGGACTCACGGGACTCAGATCTAATTAGAGAAAATGGTAACGCTGGAATCCTAGCACTCAGGATGAGGCAGGAGGACTGTCACAAGTCCCTGGGTTATACAGTGAGTTCCAGGTCAGCTCAGAATACAGAGTGAGACCCTGTATCTCAAAAAACAGAAAAAGAGGCCAGGAGTAGTGGCATACGCCTTTAGTCCCAGCACTTGGGAGGCAGAGACAGGTGGATCTTTGTGAGTTCAAGGCCAGCCTGGTCTACATAGTGAGTTCAGGTCAGCTGGGACTACAGGGAGACCCTGTTTCAAAAAGACCAAAAAAAAAAAAAAGAAAGTGGTTGAGTAATGAAAGGAATTTTACTTTTTGGGGAAATACAGGGCTGCTACTTCAGGGTCCATGTCTGTGAGGTCATCCAAGTAAACACCATCAGCTCCAAGGTGTCGACTCCGTTTATCTGAAAGAGTAAATGGAGCCGGTCAGAAAAGCGCTGTCCTGAAAACTACCTCACAAGCTTACATCTCCAGGAATAGCATCTGAGCCTAAAATGCAGATCTGCTCCCCAGCAAGCCTCAGCCCCAGAGCCATGCAGTATGAAGCGAGCAAGTGCACCATTTCTGCAGAGCCACAGGCCCCAGCATACCTGCTGTGTGGCCCAGATGGAGTTACATCACAGTACTCAGCCTCACCCTCCCTCACCCATAGAGGGCCTGACAGGTACTAAGCCCTGAATATTGAAGTTGTCACCATGATTACTGTCATTACTAGCAGCAGTGAATGATAAATCCTTTCTGAATACTTACTGGCTAACACTCTAAGGCACAGATCCTATTAGTTACATGGTTAGTTCCTGCACACCATGTCTACAAACTTCCTCTCTAGTCCCAACTAGAACTGTACAGCTGGTTTGCTCAAATCCGGGGCACTGCACAAAGCTGCCTCACTAATCAGAAGGGGGCTCTTCACCATCACTAGCCAGGATGGATGGCTGACCTGACCAGGCTCTCTTATCATTGGCATGATCTCTGCCACAGATCTACAGCCAGGGGTATATTTCCTACTTCAGAATCTCAGCTTACAGATGTCACAAGCAAAGCCTATGCAGCTATTAAAAACTCTGAAGCAGGGGCTAGAGAGATGGCTCAGCGGCTAAGAGCACTGACTGCTCTTGCAGAGGACCCGGGTTTGATTCCCAGCACCCACACGGTGGCTGAGAACCACCCTTAACTCCAGTTCCAGGGGAACCCAAAGCCCTCTTCTGACCTCCGCAGCAATGCACGACATGGATGCACTCCCATATATGCAGGCAATACGTTCATACACATAAAATAAAAACAATAAATAAAACATTAAAAAAAAAAAACTCTGAAGCATTCCTGCCACAGACTTAAGACAAGGGACTCAATCTGCATACTCCACGAGAGCCTAGGTCAAACATGCAGATGATATGGATCTGGTCACAACTGATGTATTGTAAGCTCTGGAAGGAATCTCTGTCTTTGGTGTGTGCACAGTGTACCTGGAAGCGAGCCGGGAGCTCCCGGCTCTGCTTCCTACCTTTTTTCCTGGAAGGAGAGTCTGTCTTGCTCGCCGCCTGTGTTGTGCTGGCAGCGGGGGGCTTGAGTTCTTCAGTCAATGGTAAAGGTGGAGCAGCTGCTCCTAAGGCCTCCAGGTCCTCTTCATTCACAAACTGCATTTCTGTCTGAGCCTTGTCCTGATCTGTGAATGGCCCCTGGGCCAGTGTTGGTGACTGGTCACTAAACGTGTCTGAAGATTCACTATGAATGGTCTGAAAGTGGATTTTATCAGAAATCTTCCGACTGCATAAGGGGCTGGACTCTTTCATCTTGTGTGGAGAAGATGACTAGAACAAAGGAGAGAAGGAGGAGATGTGAGGAAAGGAGAAATCCCAAGCAAAGAAAAAAGTTGAGGCATCAAAGAACAGGTCAATTAATGGTCTGTGCAGACTCTTCAACCTCAGAACTATGTGGTGATGCCCATACCTCCCCTGAGGTCCAGAACCCAAGAACACTCCAAAGTAAATGAGCTTCCATAGAAAACACCAACGTCCTGGCATCTTATCATGGCAAATGCTGAACCAAACACAAATGGTTCCGTTTTTCATCTGCACTGGCAAGACTGAACGACTGAAGTCTGGCATGGTGTCACACGCCTTTAATCCCAGCATTCAGAAGGCAGGGACAAGCAGATCTCCAGGCCAGCCTGGTCTACACAGTGAGTTCCAGAACAGCCAGGGTTATATACTGAAACCCTATCTCAAAAAAACAAAAACAAGACTGAGTGACTGAACAGCAAGCACACGGCTTTCAGGAGGAATGGCATGAGCATCGGGGAAGCTGTGGAGCTCTGTGGGTCCAACAAGATCGCCAATGCCGACTGCAGACAGTTCCAACACATCTGACTTGCATACATCTCCCATCAGATCATCTCCACTGTAGCTAAGGAGAGCACACTCCACCCCATCTGCTCAAAATATCCCATAGTCTTTGTGCTCTCCCTGCAGTTCTTTGGGTTCCATATTCTCCTTTCCCCTCCAAGTCTAGCTTGATTGCAGAGTTAAGTTTATGCTTACAAATAAAAGTTAAGTAAAAGAAAGAAAAAAAAGTCAACCACAAAACAGGAGGGAGGGAAAGGAGGCAGGAGGGAAGGAGGGAAGGAAGAAAAGAGGGTGGGAGGAGGAAGGGAAGGAGGGGAGTAATGGGCCACAAGTGCACACAGTCCCTCAGCAGAATGGGAAGTATGTCACACACTGGGCTATTCAGGGATGAGAATAAATGCATTCCAACTTCCCAGGACACTATGGAGGAATCTTGCAAAACCAATCTCTGTAATGACAGAGCAAGCAGAGTGGCCATCCTTTGAGGGTAGAGGGTCAGTATGGGCAGCAGCTGCAAAGGTGAGGACCTCATACAGCTGGCCATGCCCAGCCTCTGTGGGATCTGGGAGCAGGCTGCATGGATATGGGCACATTGTGAAGAAACACTGAACTATGCACTGAAAACCTGCATCTCTCTACATACATGTGTTAGACTTCAATACAATTTATCCCCCAAATGCAAGTCAATGGGATTTGGTGGTGACTGGTTCACATCAGAGGGAAATTCACAACACACAGAGATCTGCAGTTATGGAAAAACGTATCCAAAGAGAAATGGCATGCCCCCGACAGGCCTCACTCTATCTCATCTCCATGGTTCCTCACAGATGAAAGCCATGCCACAGTAGGTCTGCAGTTAGAACTGCTCAGCGAGAAGTGACAGGTTTACCCTTTCACACTGTCTCTCCAGTAGCTACTGACATGACTTTCTTAAGATAGATGGAGGCCAGCACTATGGCTCACAGGCAGGGAAATAAGTATTCTCCATAAAAACTAAATAGAACCTGGAAGGAAAGGGATCCATCCATAACCTTAGCAACAACAGACCTACTCTCCATCTTCACTCACTCAGTCACCCATGCATCCATATGACAAGGCCCAAATGGGGGGAGCAAGGCGCTGCATCATCCCCTAAGAACCTTACAATATATCTCCAAGTGTTGTAATATAATAATTTAATGCAAGATCCTTGTGATATGTTGAAATGAGACAAATGTCTTAAAACAAAAGATTATGTAACTGTATTTTTAGAAACCTACCTGCTGTATACAGTACCAACTATCTCCCTGCTTGTGAACTTTACAGTTAGAGAAACTGAGGCTCAACATATGTGTAGCACACCCAAGGAAAAAGAAAGTGAATACAGGAATAGAGAGATGGCTCAGTGGGCTAACAATGCTTGTTGCTCTTCCAGAGGACCTGACTCACAGCTTATAATTCCAGTCCCAGGGGAAGCTGTTCTCCATAGGCATCATCTATGCTCATATGCACATATGTGCGCACACGCGCGCGCGCACACACACACACACACAAACACATAATTAAAAATAAGTCTTAGAAAAGAAAACAAGTGCTTAGATGGTTTCCATGCATCAGACACATTACATGCATTATCTCTGTTAACCTATCTTTTCTCAAATTTTACAGATAAAGGCACTGATGTTGAGGGAGTCCCATGGCTTGCCCAATGTCACCCTGATACCAAGTGGTGGAGACTCACACCCAGGGAAATGTGTCTGTCGGGCTCTCCTGGTCTCTAGCATCAACTTTTCTCTATCTCTTCTGGAGACACACACAGGTTCAGGGCCAAGACGTCACCAACCAGCAACTAAAAATACTGACTGCTGATGAATCACAGGCTTAAAACATCCAGATCTTGTTGATGAGGCCCAACTCTTTCATTTCCGCCCTCTTAACCTTTCCCTGTCACTGCTGTCCTCCCAAAGGTTTCTCTTGGAGGGGGACATGTAGATTCTGGCCTTCAAGGAACACTCAGTCTTTCTTGCAACCAACTCAGTTTTCATGTTTCTGCTCCTGTGACACCTCTCTGGTCACCGCTGACCTCAGGGAAACAAGACTGGGAAGGATTTTTGTTTGTGGCTTCTAGAAGCCAGGGTTTGTATATAAGCTGCATTTTTTTCTTTATTTATTTTGCATTTAGTTGTGATACAAAGTGTAGGTCCTAAGGGTATGTTCAAAATACATCTGCGAAGCAGTGTAAGGTACATTCAGTGACTGAGTGTGGGGTAATATGTCCCTTTGCAATGCTGGGATACTGGCTCCACATAATCTGCTCTAACTTAGAAATTATCAGTGTATGGCAGAACCGAGAAAAGAGGCTTACCTTTGCAGCCTGTGGCAATTCACCCCAAAACCAGAGCATCTGCAGGCTATCCTTCTGTGTAGACCTGTCCGTGGACTTACTGACCAACTCAGAATCACTTTTTGGTGTTGAGGGCCGGGAGCCTGAAGGACTTAAGAAAACACAAACCCATAATTTGAGTGAGAAAAGAAACTCTTTATTGTTTTTAGTCCAGACCCATGGTTCCAATAATCCAGAAAATATTCCCCAAGCGCCATTCCCTTCTGAACCAGGCCATGTGACAATCCCTCCCACTAGAAGGCTTATGCAAACCATGTACAACATGGTGACCTGCAGCCAAATTCAAGAAAAATGAGAAAAAGAGTGATTAAAAAGACACAGAGAAGCAGAGAGGAAAGAGTCTGTTCTTGAGTACAAACTGCTGTCCTTCCATGACTTACCCCCAGCTCAACCTTCCCATCTCAACTCTCAGGCACCATGACAGGGTCCCAGCCAGTTGATGTGATATTCCGGGTTTAAAATATTTACCAATCTGCACTGGCTTTGAAAACAAGGAAATTGGGTTATGTGCCAACTCTATTGTACATAAACTGGATCACGAGGCAGCAGCCTCCCAGCTGGCATTTCCTACACTGCCTTCCAGGAACACATCATACGACTCCCAAAGTGCTGAGACGTGCTTTGTATCAACCCTCCAAGCAATTCACCCTCAAACTAGCTTCTAAGTGGTAGCAATGTTTCTCAATCTTTTCCACATTTTCACTCTAAAACCTGAACCAAGTCTTACTTCTACCCAGTCAACTAATGGCCAAAATAATCAACTTAGGCCCATGATTCCCCTGGACACCAAACAGCTAGGCAGGAAGAAACACCACTAAACTCTGTCTTATTTCTCCATGTCACTTCCTCAAGAGGACAACAGCATCACTGTTACACAAAGCAAGAAACAGAGGCCAGTTTCATACACACCTTCATTCACAGACCCTATGTGTTCAGGCTACGCTTGCTCTCATTTATCTGAGTCAGGTTTCAACTCCCACTCAAGACAGAGCTTCCTGTTGGTACAAGGAGAGCTCAAGTAGTACATGTAACTTGTATCCTTCTAAGAAGTTCCTATATAGCTAACCTGGCCCTGATTCTCCCACAGAGCCAGAGTTAGACTATATTCACACTGAGGAACACAGCCTCTTTTCCCTTGGAGCCCACTGGCCATTGATCCTTCCTCCAATGAAGACAGAGTACCTTAGGGCCACCCTCATGTTCTAGTTCACTTGTCTGTGGAAAGGAGACTCCTGGTACATCACACCATGACAGCTTCCACAATGGAACTCCTACACCACAGCGTGTACACACACACACACACGCACTCATGCATGTCCACACTGTACAGCCTGGAGGATGCATCCCAAAGAGAAGGCAAATGGGCCCACCATTTGCCTCGGAAAGTGCACACTGCCTCTCACCCTCCCTTGTTTTTTCTACTTCCTCCATTGTTTTTCTCCAAGGAGTAATTTTCTTCTAGCACCGCCCATCCACAGTCTTAAGTTCAATGCCAGTCAAGTGGGAAAAGCAAGTTCTGTGCTCTCCAGTGAGGGGCCCTGGGGCTTCTCTCAGCAACCTGACCCCACTCCTTCACAAGTCCTTCCTGAGCTGGAAGATGTTATTCCTTAACCCCAGAGCATGTTCCATCACAGAAAATCATTTACACCTTCTCTATTCTTAGGAACAATATATTGCCTCCCAGCTGCCACTAAATTCAGCAAAGCCCTTAAGAATGAGCTTGAGGGCTGGAAAGATGGCTCAGTAGTTAAGAACACTGTCTGTTCTTGCATAGGACCAGGTTTTATTCCCAGCACCCACATGGTGGCTAACAACCATCCCTGATTCTACGTCCAGTGGATCTGATGCCCTCTTCTGACCTCAGGCATTGCACAACACAGATGCACTTACATACATTCAGGCAATACACTCATACACATAAAATTAAAAAATAAGTAAAATAATTTTTTTTTTGGTCTTTTTGAGACAGGGTCTCCCTGTAGCCCCAGCTGTCCTGCAACTCACTATGTAGGCCAGGCTGACCATGAACTCACAGAGATCCCCCTGCCTCTGCCTCCCGAGTGGTGAGATTAAAGGCGTGCGCCACCATGCCCAGCTAAAATAATTTTTTTTAAAAAAAAAAAAAGAGTGAGCTAGAGCAAAGTTATTCTGTAAAGGTCTGGTGACCATGGCTGTGTGGGTCACGCAGTCCCTATAGATACTACTCCATTCTGCCATAGCAGCACAAAAGAGGCCAATACAAAAGACTGGCTGTGCCTGGCAGAGTTCCACAAAGACAGACAGCAGGATGCATCAGGCCACAGCTGTGGTTTGCTGACCTCTGCTCTAGGGGAATGGAAGTGCTGAACAGGGGCCCTGGAGGATCCCCCACTTAAGACCCACCATGCTGGTTCCCTCAGCAAAGCCAAAAGCCTCTGGAATCACATGGAGGCGCTGAAGTGTGCAAGCTCAGAAGGAAGGCAGGCTTGCATGGCGGTGATAAGACGGAAGGCCCTACTGTCACACTAAACATGGCACCAGATGAACCCTGCTAGTTCAGGCCATGGCAGACCCAGACTGCATACACATGTACCTGTGCACTCTGTGACATGGATGAATGACTTCAACCCACCTGAGGATAAGCCAAGGAGAGGATGACTCCATGTTAAATGTGATATATCAAAATAAGATCTCAAGACGGCCCATTATCAAACACTGGCCTTTTACCATCAATTGATGTTCAAACAAAAAAATTCATAAGGTTGCCGATATTCACAAATGAAGTATTAATTAACCTCATAATAATTTTCAATATTTTTGCCAGCACCAATAAAGCAAATTAATAACTGATCATAACTCTGTTTATCTCATCTTCAAAAGGTCTTCCATCTGTACACATAACCTCTGAAGGAAGCACCTCCTGAGGTTTTGTTTATCATCAAAAAAGAAAGTTAAGACCAGGGCATGGCGGTTTACAACTTTAATCTCAGCACTTGGGTGGCTAAGGCAAGAGGAGCAGAAGCTCTAGGCTAGCCTGGGTTACAGGAGACCCTGTTTCAAAAATTAAAAACTAAATAATAAACAGGGTCAGTGAGATGCTCAGCAAGTAAACGCACCTGTCGCCAAGCCTGATGATCAGAGTTTGATCCCCAGGACCCATATGATAAAAGAAGAGAACCAACCCCCACAAGTTGCTCTCTGATCGCCACATATTTATTCACTATGGTATGACATCCTCCCTGACATACAAAAAAATATGTAATCTTAAAAAGCAGAGAGTATGGGAGATGAGGCACACCTTTAGTCTCAACATTCAGGAGGCAGAAGCAGAGGATCTCTGTGAATTCCAGGCCAGCCTGATCTATATAGCAAATTCCAGACCAGCCAAGGCTATATTGTGAGTCACTGCCATAAAAACACACAAAAAAGAACAAGAAAGGAGAAAAAGAGAAGGAAAAGGCTATGGAGCTTTTTTTTTTTTTAAAGAGGGGGACGGTTTGTGACATAAATTAATTGATTTTAAAAAATAAATTTAAATTTAAAAAGAAAAGAAAACCTTAAAAGTTAATTTTCCCAGATAGAAATTAACCACAGCTTCATTGACTAAAATGTTTCTGACGTAGATCAGGTCCACAAAGTAGACAAGTCAAAATGTGGACAATGCTGAGGGCCTGCCCTATGGCAAATACCTACCTCAAATGAAAATACAAACCTTCAGGCCTATGAGCAGTCCTAGGCTAGTCCCCTAAATTCTGTTCTAGAAATGCTGTGGTGAGTGTCTGAATCCATTACACAGGCAGCCTAACTGACTGTTTATATATTAAAAATAAGTGGCTTGACTTAACTAAAGTGGTATCCTAAAAATAACTTGTAGACTTACTTGCCAAATGACCCATCACAGAAAACAAAAATCTAATCCCAGTCTTTCAAGTTCATGGCCTGGATTTTCAAACCCACCCACAGAAACAGGCAGCACAGTATTCGAGTACATTTCAGGAAGTTTTAAATTAGTCTAATCATCTAACATGCCTTAAAATGAAAGGACAATTTCTACAGATGTTCTTCATAAATAAGTTGGTTAGTGAGTAAGATTGATTTGAAGTGTTAGATCCAAATTTCTATTTCATATCATCTACTGTAAGTTTCTTCACAAGCCACTGGGTGAACAGTAAATAAGGCTTAGAGGGGTTAGAGCAAGAATTCTGTTATTGAATATGTCCAAATGGGCAAAGTAACTGGTCTACCTTTCCGAAGCATGGAAGTGGGAAGACTGTGGAGGGCAAGAGCTAGAAAGGACTCCCTCCGTGACAACTGCAAGATGAGGGGGGGTCCTTTGGCAATCTACCAGGCTGCTGGAGGCATCACATGATATACATTAAAAAGAAAGAAAAGATTACAGGTCAGTTCAATGAAATTTCCTAGCAATGCTTGCCTATTCTCAGCAACAACATTTGTAAGAAACAGAAATATTTAGCTATCAACCAACAAAAGGCTCTGGGTTGAAATCAGTAAGAAATCAACATGAACTTTCTTTTGTGAAAAAGTATCATGCAGCCCCTGCTGGCCTCAAACTCACTATGTAGTTGACAATGACCTTGAACTTCTGATCCTCCTGCCTCCACTTCCTGAGTGCTAAGATTACAGGCATGCACCACCACCCTTGGTTTTAAGTGGTGCCAGAGATCCAAACCCAGGCATCACGTATGCTAGATAAATATTCTATTATCTGATTTACTTCTCCAGCCCCTCAACATGAACTTCCTGAACTATGAAAACAGGAAGCTGCCAAAAGACTGATTTCACTTTCCATTCTGCTCATGTGCCTTTAAAAAGACAAGGGTAGACTGAAGCTCAGCACTGTAACAAACTACATGAGTCAAAGACTTCATCATCTGTTCTGTCCACTGTCTCCTTACAGAAAAAGGCCTCATTCTAAGTATGGAAATGTATCAACTTATCCTAATTTGTAATTCCATTTGACAGTGGTCACATCTGTATAATCTCATGACATTGTTATACAGGATTCACAAAGAAAACCATGAAATTGGCAAATACTCTCTGGGCTATGTTTTAAACATTCCTTTTAAATTCCTCAGACATGTACAGATTTTTCAGCTGGTTGGCAGCTTCTAAATATTCTGCATTGCATTGTTTTCTTCCTAAATTACTATCTTTTCTCTTCCCCAGACCCAGGACAAGAATACATCTTAGAGAGATGCCCTGTCCCATCCAGTGACCCACTGGTCACATGTGGCCAGTCAAAACTAACGTGGACTACATATGTAGAATGAGCTATGGATCTTAAAGACTTACTGTGAAAACAGGAATGTGAAATAGCTCACTAATATTTTTAAATGTATTAATTACTGAAATGATATGGGTCAAATGACATCTATCTTTAAAATTAGTTCCACCTATTCTTTTAATCATTTAAACGTGTGATGGTTAGTGTCAATTGTTAACTTGCAGAATCTTGGGTCTCTGGGCATGTCCGTTGGGGATTATCTTGATTGGGTTAACTGAGGTGAGAAGACCTGCCCGCTGTAGGTGGCACCACTCCCAGGCTGGGATCCTGGATCACATAACAGAGGAAGGGAGCTGAGCAGCAGCTGCATTCATCCCTCTGCTTCCTGATTATGGTGACCAGCTCTTTTAGGCACCTGCCACCTTGACTCCTCTGCCATCATGGACTGTACCACTGAACTCTAAGAATAAACCCTTTCTCCCTTAAGTTGCTTTTGTCAGAGTATTTTGTCACAGCAACAGAAAAAGAAACTAAGACAACATGTCTAATAGGAAACACTTAAACTGCATATGTAGCAAAGCATTAAGTTCCTAATGGACAGGGCTGGTCTCTGCAGCAAGTAGACTTCCAGCCATTAGCCTCAGGCTCGCCCTGGTAGACCAACAGTTCCTGTCAGTCCAAGTTGGAGCTAGGCATGAGACACACTACAGCTTTAGCCCAAACTGCTGACTGCTGCTGCCTCATTCTCAAAATGACCCTGAGCAAGCTGGAACCAGGAAGGGTGCTTTGATGAAGCTGGGAGCCCACGCCAGAGCTCAGCTACTTCCATTTTACTAAACCATGAATAAATCTACAGCATCAAGTGGAACAGACCAAGGATGCCAGTCATTCCTGTTTCTCAACCTCTTTTTCATTATCTCCACACCTCCAAATAGTTTGACAAAGTAACAGCCCATTATCCCCCACCCACTGTGTGACGTTTAATGCTATGGCCCCTCAGAGGCCACAAATTGATACCATGCCTAGGATATGTCTGCCACCCAAGAACCAGTTTTCACCCCTTGGAGAACACAGGATTTAGATCTGTGCCCTTCCTCCATCCTTGGCAGAACCACTCTGAACACTCATGTTCTCACAGGTCTCAGGGATCCCAAAGGCCTCTGGAGTCTTCAAGACATCTGTACACCATGCAGCTACAGCTCACTTCTCAAGTTCACACAGCAACTCCAGAAGAAGTGGCCAGTGTATGTCAAGGAACTTGTGGTCCTGAATCCATTAGTACGGACTGGGAGTAGGGTAGCATCCCTCTGACAGCCCTGAGTGATGTCAGAGCCACCTGCAGCAATATCTGCAGTTGAACTTCACGTTAGGGCTCAGGACCAAGCCAGCATCAACCATGTTGCCCTCTCCTGCTCCTGTCAGGCACTGGTTAACTGAGCATGTGCTTTTTCCCTTCTCTTGTGCCTTCCCCTCAGAGTCCTGTCCCAAGTCTGTGGATGGATCTTGAATTCAATGAATGTCTTCTATCTGTTCCCTTCTGCATTAATTCTAATCTGTACCCCCTACTCCACACTTTTCTGGTCGTAATTATTTTCACTTTTTATTTCTATTTCACTATTTTCTAACCCTGTGGACATAGTGATCTCTAACACACACATAAGCAACTTACCTGGGATTGGGAGACCACTCTCTATCTGAATTGGGGTAGGATGCCGACTGGGGGTAAGTGGAAACTGAGAGAAGGTTTTCTTTAGGAATATCATCTTGGAATGGTGGTATGTCATTAAGAAGCGTTCTGAAATTTTAAAAAAAATTAAAGAATTACCAAGGGCAGATTCATAATAAAGCCAGTTTCTTGTTGATTGTGTCTAAGTACTTTGTTATGATCACTGTTAAACACCCAGGCACAATCCAGGAAGTGAAGACAGAATGAAAAAAAGTGAAAGGTCGGCAAGTATAATTGTGTTTATGCATTTGTACTTTGGCTGGATTATAAACAAAATGATTTTGCTGAAGCATCAGTATATTGATTATGCCACTGTTAACACCAATGTAGCATCCTCCAGAGAGAGAGAAAGAGAGAGAGAGACAGAGATAGAGAGACAGAGAGACAGAGACAGAGAGACAGAGAGAGAGGAAAGAGAGAGTGTGAATGGTGTACGTGCATAGTATTAAGGATGGAACACAGGGCTCAGTCATGGTAGGCAAGGCTCTATCACTGAGCTACAACTTCTTCTGTCCCTTTTATTTTGAGATAGGATCTCACTAAGTCTCCCAGGCCTCATGTTCCTCCTGCCTCAGCCTCCACAGTGCTGGGCTTACTGGTATATGCTAACACGCTCAGCTTCCACTACAGCATCTTACTATTGCCTTTCATGTTTCACCTCAAGAGCCTAACAGGCAGATCAACCAAAGCTGGAGATAGGTGTTACAGAACCTTTTCCATGTGCAAGGGGAGCTGCCATACAAATGGATGACCCCACACAAACCATGCTTCGTGTGGGCCAAAGAAATAAATGATATCAACCATGTGTATCTTGACAGCAGAACTCCCTAGCTTCAGACAGGAATGGACACAGCACAGTTCACCATCCCCCTCCCACAGAGGCCATCTGTCTGCACTTCTGATTGTGCCAGAAGTACCTGTGTCCGGGTTCTAGACTCAAAAGCCACACAGGAAAGGCCATTACAACCAGCCCAGTCACTCAGCCTCTATGCCCCCAGCAGTCAGGAAAAGCAATGGTACCAACCAATATCCATTTTAAGCCAGAAAAAAAATATATTCTAGGGCTGAGGGTGTGGCTCCAATGTAGAGTGCCTAGAACACACAAAGCCCTGGGTTCAATCCCCAGCACCCCACAAATTGCATGTGATAGCTTACACCTGTGAACCCTACATTTGGAAGGTAGAGAGGCAGAAGATCAGAAGTTCAAGGTCATCCTCAGCTATATATCAAGTCTCAAGGCCAGCCTGTGCTGTGCTATATGAGACCCTGTCTCAATAAAAATAAATATTTTATTCTGGCATTCTTTGTCCCTTCTTTATGTTAACAAGATATAAAAAAAATTATCAAAAGTCACATGGAATAATATAAAAATCTGAAACAGCAAGTATTCTTTAAAAATTAGTTTCAAAACTGGCATTTTCCACCAAAACAGTAATACATACAAACAGAACTTCACTGCACTCTTAGCAGCAAAGAAAAAAACAAAACCACATTCAACTTAGGGCATAAGCCGGGTATGGTGGTACACACACACCTTTAATCCGGAAGGCAGAGGCATGCAGAGAGGTCAGCCTGGTCTACATAGTGAGACTGTGTCTCAAAAAAAAAAAAACAAAATGAAACTTTGGACATAATCCGAGTTAAAATAGAAAAGGTTTCCTTACACACAGAGTGTAAGCTCCAGTCACCTTTAACCCTAAGTTGCTCACACACCAGTCTCTCTGCCTTGGATCAGCCCCACTGCCACATATATATTTGGTGCTCAAATAACAACAACTAGGCTCCGGGCTAGGGGGAAGCTTGGCAACAGAGCAAACACTTAGCAAGCACAGTGCTGTGGGTTTGATCCCCAGCACCAGTAACCAAATTAAAAGGCTCTGAGGAAATGGTTTTGTTCATCAAAAAGACTCATTTGCTGAATCTTGTTTCTAAATTCTATGACAGAGAACTGATAGCTATCTACCACAGAGGTCCGGCACAACCAAATGTGTTTCAAAAACATTAGCAAATCTCTATTTCTTTCTGAGACTGGGTCCACCTGATTCCAAAATTCAGTCTAAGATGCCTAACAGATGAACAAAAAGTTAAGAGGTCCACAGTGAGGTCACTGTGCTAAATGAGGCCCAGAAACAGCCAAACTGTAACCTGCATACAAGGGCTACAAAACAACTCACCTTGATGAAGAAAACTAAGCATTTCTGATCTCAGAAAAAAGAGAAATCCCTACTTAACATTCCCAAGTAGTGTGTAAGAGAAACAGAAATTAAGAGTGAAAATTCCATTCCAAGAAAAGGGATTTTCCAAAAACTGGGCATATCCTGACCCAAACCCACGTATAAAGGAAAGGAAGTGGGCCATTACTGTAGCATACCTCTGTGTAAGAAGTATAGACGACTGAATGCTAATGAGATATGATTTCACCCAGATCAGAGGTGTTCTGTGAGATGGATAAGGTTTTTTTATTAGCTAATAGAAGCCATAAAGTTGTGGATGGAGAGGTGGGGGGCAGCAGGGTGAGGGTGGAGATGGAGGAAGAGGTCTGAATATATTCAAAATTCACTGTATAAAATTCTTGAACCAAAAAGTTAACTCATCTAGGGCTAGAGATACAGCCCAGTTTACTACAGTGCTTGAACAGGATACACAAAGCCTTGGGTTCAAACCCTAGTACATCATAAACAAGTGTGGTGGCACATACCTGTACTCTTAGCACTGGGAAGGTAGAAAAAAAGGATCAGAAGTTCAAGGCTAGCCTCAGCTACAGATTGAGTTTGAGGCCAGCCTAGGCTACATGAGAACTTGCCTCCAACAATAACAACAATAATAATAATATAACAATAATAATAATAATAGTAATAATAATAATAATTCATCTGATTTCAAACACAGATCCTGTCTTCCCTCAACATTTACCTGCTTCCATCCATTGGCCCTGAGTCCTCATCAGAGCTCATCTCTATGGGAAACATGTCCTCATCCTCAGATGTGTTGGTGTTATCATCTCTTTTGAGACTGTCCAGTTGAGACTTCCTCCTCCTTTTTCTTCTCTTCTTCCCCAGAGAACCAGAGGATGGGGTGTCACTGGCAGGCAAACCCTGGGCAGTTGTGGTGGGATCCAGGTTCCTGATTCTATCGACAGAGTTCCTTTTCAGCTGGCTCTCCATTCTCGAAGTTCCTTCTGACAGGATGGGAGATGTGGCCAGGTACATGGGGATCACTTCCTGAATAGGAGGACAGGATTTCAAGAGTCCTATTAACAGGTTCAGAGGCAGGACAGTGACAAAGGCCTTCCAAGATTTACTTATGAGAGGGCCACAGGAGGGAAGCCTGACATGTCACAGCCACAGGGACATGGACACATGGCTACCCCATCAGACAGAGGATCAGAGAGTCAACAACTCATCAAATGCTGTTTGGGACTCAACCCTGCATTTCTATAATTACAACTAAGTTACAATTAGCTATTAGCGGTGTTTTCAAACCACCAACACTAAAATATCTAAAGCAAAGAAAAATGAGGGCTGAGTCATGACTATGTTGGGACCTGGACACAGTTTTGTGGGTACTACGGGCACCAAGGTAGGATCAGGTAGGTTTCAATGGGAAAGCAATAGAGGAAAAGACCTATGCCTTCCTCTGACCTCCACATGCACATGCATAGGCACAATTACCTGACCACACAGGTATACACACACACACACACACACACACACACACACACACACACACAAAAAAAAAGAGATTTTGTCATTTCTCAA